GTCTTCCCCCCCCGAGACACCCTGGCCGGGCAGAGCTGGCACCCGGGAAGTCGCTGCTGCCTCGCTGCCAGGCTCAGCGGCCGGGACCGAGGTCTGCCCGGAGGTTGCCAGCGTGCTCCCTGCTCGCCCTGCGCTACGGCTCTGCTTTGCTGCCTCGTGTTGCTCACAAGCAACTCGGGAATCAGGAGCAGGAGACGACTGTGGGAAAAGAAAAACAGCAGGTACCTTGCTGGTGTTGAGGGAGCTGGGGAGAGGGGTGCCACAAGAGCAAAGCCCCGGATCTGAGCAGGCTTTGGCAGCTCCTTCCCCTTTCCTGCCGCCCCTCGCAGGGTCTCCTGCCAGGGCTGGGGCTCACCACCCGCAGCAGGACTGCCGTGCAGGCTGGTTTGCCCCGGCTGTCAGAGCTGAGTCGTATCTTGCTGTTTCTCACACCCTTCCAGGGCCCTGGGTGATATTTCTCTGCCTGCTCGGAGGTTCGCAGCCCCCCAGTGTGGGGGTGTCCCCCTGTTTGCCACAAGTTACATTGCGGCGACCCAGCCTTTGCCTGTGCTTGCTGGCCGGGCTACAGGTGCGGGAGGGCAGAGTGGGGCTGCTTGCAAAAGGCGTTAATGCTGCACCCAGCCACCCTCCCACACCCTGGGGATTTTGCCACAAGTCCGACTTGTCCCTTTGGGTTGAATGAGCCCGTGCCTGCCATGCTGAGGAGGGGGACAGCCAGGCTGCTGACAGCTGACCCCGCAGCTATCTCATCCCTGTAGGCATGAGATAGCCCGTGGCTCATCCCGCAGGCTGAGCCAGGATGGCCCCTGTGCTTCCAGCAGGGCATTGGCCGGACTGTGGGGCCGGGGCCAGTTAACAGTCAGGAAAGGGAGCGAAAGCCTCCACAGCGTGGTGAAAGGCATTTTTTTTTCCAGCCCAAAGCTGTTTTATAAGCAGCAGTGAGGTACCCAGGGAGGATGTATGGCGATGGGTGATTTACAGATGAATGAGCCTGGAGAGCCTCACCAGGCAGGCTGCAGGGTCTCCCTGGGGGATGGGGACGGAGGCCAGGGGAAGCGTGGGGACGTGCTCTGCCACCAGCTCCTTGGGGGGCTGGCTAGGCGGGCAGGAGCAGCCTGCTGTGCTCGATGCTCACTAGGAAGCAGGGCAGGAACATCTCGAGAGGGGGCCTGCTCCTCCCAGCCTCTCCCAGGAGGGACTCGGGGAGCTGGGGTACAAGCCCGCAGCCCTGATCGCACGCTGCCAGGGCTCTGGGAAGCAGCTGTCTGAGTCCCACCCCTGCAGCGAGTTCGTTAGTGCTCTCTGCGCTGTGACATTTTCACTGATGCCTGACTGATGCTGGAAGCTAATTGGATATGTGGCTTGCAGAGCTCTCTGGGTGGTGCTTCTGGGGAACAGATGAGTTAGCACTAGCTATGGGAAGGAGGAAAAAGTGACCTGGGATGCTGATGGTTGCACTGTGGCCAGGCTCATGGCTGCGCTGAGGCCATAGGAAAGCAGCTTCGAGGAGGGAAGTGGAGGTGCATGTGGCAGGACACCTCCCAAGAGCCCAGGTACTGCAATGCCCTGGTGTCTCAGCACTTTTTGTCAAGGAGGAGAGAGAAAAAAGACGCTACGTATCTTCTGCCCTCCCATAGGGGCTATTCGTGTGCTGGAGAAAGCCTCTTTGGCAGGGAAGAGAGGTGAACAGAGGTTTTTGCCCTTTCTACGCATGTTCCAAACTCTACAGCTGTCATACAGGCAATGCATTCAGATTTTGCTTTGCATGTGTCTGGCCTGTTAGGCATCAGAGAGAAAAGGAGCTGTAACAGGATATAATAGCCTGTAAGAGGAGAAGGTAAAGGATTGCTCAGGCTTCTACATCTCTTTCTGCCCAGCTGTCTCTGCAGGAGATGTCATGTTTCTGTTACTGAAGGGAACACTCTCACCTTGGCCTTCAGTTGGAGGCTGTTATAAGAGCTCCCTGACTTCCTGGCTTCTAGAAAAGCAGGCAGATGCTATCTGGGGACAGGGTGGCCCAGAGGTCTATCCTGTCCTCCCGGTGCCCAGGATACCCAGGGCTACTTGCTCCCCTGGAGCCCAGGTGGGTGAGGTCTTCTCCAGCTCCCTGAGCATGAACTTCTTCTGTATGGGCACATGGGATCGCACAAGGACAGCTCAGGGTCACAAGGGAGGACTCCTTCTCCCCTTTGGCTTTTCTGGTCACAGGCAGGGCACTGGGTTTCTAGTAAGTGGTGTTTCTCAGTGAGTAAAGCTCTGTGAGTGTACAGTCTTCTCCTCCAGGCATGGGAAGAAAGACCTCCACTCTGCTCACCTGTAAGCCCCATATCAGCACCCAGGTTCGAAATCCAAACCGGGTTGTAGGCTTGGTCGGTGTCTGGCCGGAGGTGCCATCATCATTAACAAGCCCTCAAAAGCACAGGTGAGCCTGGGGGGTGTTAAAACTGTGATCACTGCCTGATTACGTGCACAGCCATGACTGTTCGTAGCTCTGCGCTCCGGTCTCCCCAAAACACGTCCAAAAGCACGGGCTCGTTGCCAAGAAGCCCAACCAAACCTTGCCTATCTGACGACGGATTTGTGTGAAAACGGGTAGTACTATCAGGTACAACCCCAAAAGGTTAACACCAAGAGGGAACGTGCTGGACTCAGAGAGCAGAGATGCTCTACAGAGAACTCTAATAACCCGTGTTCTTTTGCAATAAATCCATGTACCAGTTACGCTGTTCCCACAGACCACTAGTGGCCTGTTGTGCAGCGATGAGCTGCAAAGGCAATTCTTTCTTATTCGAGTTGGCCTGGTAACAGAGAACAGTTTGGAATAATTTGTCTCTGAAAAATGAAGACTGTGTTCTGTTAGTGTTCTTTTGTTCGGGACTTGTACGTATTGACAGTGCACAGGCTTGTTAAGAAATATGACCCTACATGGGGAAAAAAAAAACAGCTTGGAGGGGCAGAGTTTATGTCTGTGGGCTTTTGGAGCAGAGCAAGAGTAACTGAGTGAGGCTGAAGGCGTCTTGTAAAGAAGGTGCCCTCTTGCTTTGCTAATTCTCTTGTTCTGCTCTAATTAGTCACTGTAGCCAAACTGGTAGGTGTGATTGGCTGGCTGTGTTTTGGGAGACATAGCGGGGATCAAAGATCCTAATGTGACTATTTTGAGCAGCTCAGAGAATTATCCAGGAGCTGCAGAATGAAGAGGATTTGTCAGGGTGAAGGGAAATTTGCTCCTGATGGGTGGGGGTTCCGGTTTCTCCAGCCACATCCGTGTTAAAGGGGCAGAAGCCTGGAAACATGTCCTTTTGAGAGCTCCCCCCTTGCACTGATTTCCCTTGATGTTTCCGCATGGGTGCAAATGAAAAAGGCCAGAATCTCCCGAAGGTAATGTCTGAAGAGTTCATTGACATTTCGTAGGGAGAATGAAGGCAGGGGCCCTTCCCTCAGATGAAATCTGGCAAATGCAGGGAGAAACCATGGGGCACAGTGGGCAAAGGTGGCTCAGCATTGCGCTAACACAACGCTAGGAGGTTGCTTTTGGACAAGGTGCCACAGGGAAAACGTCAGAACCTCTACTTAAAACTAGCTCAGTCCTGCAGAAAACACATGCCTCTCAGAAAGGATCCAAGTGGGAAATGGAGCTGCTACAATAGGGTAGCTGAGCATATTCCCTCTGTTGACCCCATTCTTTCCCCCTAGGCCTGCCCGCCCTCCTCTTACGACACTGTCACCCACCTCCTGCACAGCATCTGCTTGTAGGTGTCCCCTGAACACAGCTCTGGCCCAGGACACAAACTGCAGGGAAAGCCAGGCATTTCCTTGTGTCTATAGGTGTGCATAGGGGAAAGGAGCTCTGCAGGAGCTCTGTAAAACCTGTGTCAGATTAACCAGCCATGGACCCTGCATCAAACCCTGGCTTGACAGTACAGACCCAGACAAGAAAAGAGAGCTCCTCTCTCTCCCAAGCCCTGTTCTATAGCCAGCCCTGTCATAAATGGGTGACATCAGATTAGTGCTTCACTCATCCCTAATGGGAAATCATAATCCCCAGAAAGAGATTGTTGCAAGCACCGAGCCTCAGATCTCCCTCCTGTGGCAAAGAAACCCCCCTCTGAGGTGGCACAAGCGGAGCTGTACCAGCCCAGGCAGCGGCAGGAGATGGAGACCCTTTTAGCATCTCCAAGACCCTACTGCCTCTTGATGTGCCTCACTTCCCGCCGTGGAGTTGCTGACTGTAAGAAGGAGCTGCCTCAGTGCGCAAATCTTAACAAATCCACTTGGAGCTTTCCTGAAAATGAAGATGCCAGCTCCCTATTGCCTGTGTTTCACATGAAATCAGGATGTAACCTATCACTTTTTGCAGGTGTAAATGAACTATCAGATGTACAGGTTAACAGACAACCAAGCCCCAAGTCCTTCCCAAACAGAGTGCAGTTGTTCTGCTTTTATAGGTAACTAAGGGATTTAAGTACTGCTTCAGAGGGGATGGCACCAGTCACAGTGCTACTAGCATTGCCTTTGCCACATGGAATCCAGCACAGCACACTCAGATCTCATCAGGGGAGCTCACTGCACCTTATAAACCTTTTTCTACAATCTGCCTCTCCTCCTAAGAGGAAGATGTTAGTGGCATTTTTGGGAGGGGGGAGACTGAGGCAGAACAGTATTGACTTGTCCAGACTGCAAAAGAAATCACAGTGCAAGTTTGCAATTTGCTTCTAGCCACGAGCACTGTGCATGAGGTCCCAGCACTGAAGCAATTCTGTACACGACTAGAGAGTGGGACAGCAGGAAGCACAGGGTGAGAAGCTGTGCGTGTGGGCTCGAATGACAACCATGCCTGAATGAAAGGACCCGTTAACCCAGGACTGATGCTGCATCTTTTTATTTTATTTTTATTTTGCTTCTCTAAAGCGAATGCAGAGCAAGTGATAGGAGGGAGAAAGGTGGCTTGAAAAAACAAAACAAAACAAAAACAAAAAAAAACAAACTGGAAGAAAGAGGCAGCGGCTGGAGTATAGGGGGAAAGTGAGCTGCTAACAAGAAAGAAGTTCATAGATGCAAAGCCCGCACTAATTCTTAATAAAATACAATACTGAAAATAGGATCTGAGAGTCTCCAAAATACAATATCTTAAGGGATTGGCAATAATACAAAATAAGGTTCACTATGTACAAATGAGTTCTGCTCTTGGTCTCTGTACAACGGTGTGAGTGGGAGGCATGGGAGCATGCACAGTGGAAGGGTTGGGGTGGAAGAGGGTGTGCTTGGGCCTGGCAGTGGTTCTTTGCACTGGGGTGGAGGAAGAGGATGGGGAGTGCAGTGGTAACTGGTGGCCAGCGGATCTATGTGAACCTTCAGAGGAGCAGAGCTGTGCTGAAGGCCTTCCTCTTCCCCACCCCATTGGCTAAGCATCTATGGTTGCAGCTAGCTGTGTCCAAATTTCTCCCAAATGGCTTCAGGGGACAAAAACTTTTTTCAAAGGGGAGAAAAGAGAGAAGGCTCTGAGGCCCTTCCCTCACTTCTTCCAGTCCTTGGGCAATAGCCATCCCATGCTGCCTCTCCAGGAAGCCCTCTTCCCTCCTGGTCTGAGGGGAGAGGAGAGGCTGGCGGAGAGGCTGTGGTGATGCGGGGAGAGCCTGGCCTGCATGCAGGGACTCCCATGTACAAACATGGGGCAACAGGCACATCCCTGATCTCAGGCGCTTGTGTCCCACGTTGTCCTTCCAGCAAAAGGCAGCCAAGGGAAAAGGAGTGAGGGGACACTTAAATCTTTCAGCATGGCTTTTCCTGGGAAGGCAGAAGTGACAGAAACGGATGTCTGGGTGCTAAAGAGGGATGGCACTGGCTTGAGATGAGGTTGCTTCAGCACTACGCTCAGCAAGTCTGGCCTGAAGGGTGGTACGGGAAGAGGCTGGAACTTTTGGTGCCAGCACTTACAAGAAAAAGGCCTAAAACAGTCTTTGATGACCCCGGCCAATTCCACTGCCTGTCACCTCTTTCCTGACAGAAGTGCCTGTCACCAGAGCTGCCAGCATAATGTCCTCAGTGGCTTTCACAACACTCTGCTGGGTGCACAGAGGACATGAGGGGAACGATGGCTCCCAGTGACAGCCCTCCAAGGGATTGGCAGAGCTCTTCTTGGTGGTTCCTAGACCGGCCCTGTTTGGCATGATGCAGAATTGGGAATGGAGAGCCGGGAGGAGGAGCAGGTAACAAGAGCGGGTTTCTCCCACCTGCTCTCAGAGGGCAGGCTACAGAATGGAAAGCAGGAAGGCCACTGCGCTGCGCTGTAGGGCCCAAGCTGGGGACAGAAAGGGAAACATCACCCTGCCAGAGCAAGGGTGCTGAGGAAGGGAAGTGGGTTGTGGGGTGAAATTGTTCTCAATCTCTGAGAGCTCTGGTTGCCCAGAAGCTGCCGGTTAATTTTCATGGTGGTTTATCTGAGTCTGGGAGCTGTCTCCCCCACTCCGTTTGTGTGCAGATCTTTGCAGAGAGTTGGCATGGAAGTTATGTAGGCACATCCATCAAGAGAAAACTAGAGCAATGGAGAACTAGGTTTTCTCTCAACGGAGGCAGAAGCATATTAACAGATGGAGGGGAAGGAATGAGCTCAAACTCTCCAGAGTCATCTCTCCAACCCCGGCATCACCCACCCCTGAGTCCCGCAGGCAGGGCAGTAAACCCAGCACTCACTCACTCTCCTTGAGGTGCATCTGATGTAACTGAGGGCAACGTGCCTGGGGACAGCCCCCTTGGACTGGAGGCTTTGGGGAATGTGCTGAATATTTTGGGGGCTTCCCTCCGACCTCCTTCCACTCCAGGGTGAGCCCACACCCATAGGGTAGTGCTCATTCAAGCAGGAGACAAGGCCAGGAGGAAAGGGTGTCTCAGGACTTTGCCAGTCTGTTATTGCTGGTTCTGGCAGTCCCGCGACTCCTCTCAGAGAGATCAGTACTAAGAGGGCCATGGGGAAGGGGAGAAGCTGAACCCAAGGCCAGTTTAGGAGCGTCTGAATGCAGTGTCCTCTCCCGCCAAGTTCCCTCTGTTGCTCAGTGAGGAGGGAATCCTGCAATCAGACAGATGAGGCCTTGAGGTCCAGCAGCTGCTACAAATATTCAGCTGTCTCACTGGAGGTTGTCTCCCTGGGGAAAAGAAAAGACATGGCATCAGTAAAGGTTCACTGCACCCTCATGGGCATATTCTCCTCTGTTGTGCCCAGCTAGTTTGCTCTGATCAGGATAGAGCCCTTTCTCAAGGCAGTGAATGACCAGCAAACCTGAGACCACCTGAGTTACCTAGCTCTCCTCGGCTCTATGCCAGACCGATACTGCTTTATGGAAGTCCCAGATTTTTGCTCTGGGAAACAAACTTGCTCCCTGCCAGCAAAGGCCTCCTCCAGCCATTGCTCCTTAACTAGTTGCTTGCCCCAGGGAGTTCTGCTGTCCTTAGCTTGGAGAAGAAGGGACATGTCTGCTGGCCCCTCCTAGCCATTGTGCTGTGGTTTGGGGCTTTGAGGGTGGCCCCCACCTGCTTACCTCTCATGGAATTGCTCTTTGAGGTGGGTGAGAGTTGGGTCAGTTTGGTTCTGGTCAGGACCCTCCAGCTGGGATTTGCTCAGATATTTGCTCGTCTCATGTGTCCTGGCCAGATGAGGCCTTCGCTCTTCAGATTGCCCTTTTTCGGCCTCCCACCCCTCAGGATGGTCCATGGTTAGGAAGGAACTATAGCTCTCTTCTAAGGAGCCAGCACCCTCATCATAGAACAGGAGGCTCCGCGACTGAACTGGAAACAAGGAGAGAGCGTGAGTTAACAGCGAGGACAAGGGCTCATGCATAGGGTGTGGGTCATGGTGGTGGTTAGCACATGCTCACCCAACTACAGCCTAGTCCATGTGTGACTGTGCAGGAGGCCTGCTCTACAGGATACCCCACTCCCCCCAGTTTTGTGAGGCAAATGCTCCCCTGGATACACAGGCTCTCCAGAAGACAATCAGTCTGCCCTGGGACTTTTCCCTTATGGTCTATCTATTAGTATCTGTCATGTTTTGGGACAATGAGCAGGAGAGAATGAAAGTAGGTCTAGACAAGGCGCTGCTATCAGGGCTCATACCACTAAGAGGCCAGGAACCTCCCCTTGCCAGGGCCCCAGCAGACAGGGCAGGTGCTGAGGGGAAGATGCTACCCCTGAACTCTGTGTGTCGGGAGAAGAGTTGGAAATGCTTTGAGAGGATTAACGGGAGGTGCTACGTTAGACTCACTCTTACTAGTTGTGTAAATGTCTGGTGCTGGTGTTGCTTTCACTGTCTGTGATGCTGAGGAGAACTCAGGGAGACAGGGCATCATGGATCCCAGGATCAGAACGAAACAGAGCGCCAGCACCTAGCAAGGAGGTATCAGAACACAGTCAGTGCAGCCAGCCACAAGGAACGCACCCCCCAGCACACACAGGAGGCTGTGAGAGGCCATGTGGTCAGCTGGCAACTGGGTCACCGTAGTCCTCCCGGGAAAGAAAGGGCTTGCTCTGCTAATCTCTGCTGAAAATTTAAGAGGGGGAAGTCAGAGGCTTTCTCCTGTTGCTTTCCCTAAAGTATTTCTGGTACAACAGTGAGAACCTGCCCATCCAGCTGATGAGAGATGGTGGAAGGCATAGCTGGGGAACGATTTGGGAAGGAGGGAGAAGGAGGCTCAACAAAAGAGATGGACTCTGCCTTGACCAAAGAGGATCTAACCATTGGCACAATAGGAACTGAAGTGGGCTGCAAGAAAACAAACTCATTAGGAAAAATCTGTAAGGTACCACAGCATACAGCAAAGTGAAACTATTGTGTGTGCTAGGACAGAAATGACAGAACTGCAGCAGCCCTACACCTGACAGCGTGAACAGAATGTCAAAGGAAAAGGTTAAATTTACTCTTGCCAACTACAGTGGTGGGTTAGTTACTGGTAGTGGCAACAATAGGACTCGCTTGTTCTTGAGTTGAAAATTTTCAGTCCTGTGAGCCTAAGCAATGCCAGATGGTCTTGCTGGTAACGGACTTGTCAGCTGAGGGTTGAATAGAAGTAAGTGCTAGATCAGGAGTAATGATTCCAGAGATCTCCATGCTTGGTACACAGTTGCAAGCAAAGCCAGGGGATTGTAAATTCCTGGCAGAAAGAAAAGATGGGTGAACCCAGAGTTTTTCCTCACAGGAGTGCAACAAAAGTTGCCTAGTGGTATTTCCAGGGACAGGCACAGCCCAGATCTGGAAGAGGAATGGACAAGGGGCCATCACTCCAGCTCAGGGCATGGGCACGTTTGTACAGGGCTCTCCCACATCTGCCAGGGCAGCACCTGTACTGCTCTCTAGGCAAGCAGCACATGTTTAGCCTCGGAGATATGCCAAACCTATAATTTGTGCTGAGAATGGCTATGAAGCATTTGCAGATTTGATCTGCACATAAGCAGGGCCGTGCGTCTGGGCCTTTTGGCTGTCCAGCAAATCAGTCAGAAATACTGGGCAGGGCTAAAAGGAGAATGGCACAGGAAATCTCCCTGGAAATCTCCCTCTGGTAAGCCTGCACCTAGGATTGCCTGTCTGTAAATCTTACCATCATGGTCAAGTTTCATAATGAGAAGCCTGTGGTGATTGTAAAGGGCTCTGTAAAGTCTAGGGAGCTACCAGTAGAGAGCAAGAGGGGACACATGAAAAATAATACACAGCCAAATCCTTATTACCTGAATACCCATGTGCCATGGGTGGCATATTGCTAGCTGTCTCCAGCTCAGTGCTCAGCCTGAGAAAGTCCAAAGCAGAATACATCTGTTGGAGTTTTCTACTACTGATATATAAACAGGCTAAACGTCACGTCTGGGGACAGGGATCCAAGCAGCATTTCTTAATTGCTTTTTGAAATAGTCAACTCCAGTGTACCAATGAGGCGATTACTTTCAGCTCATGCCTAAGTAACACACAGAAGCTGGTACATCAAGATAAGATTAACTACCAGTGGATTCCAGAAGATGTGGAACACCAAATAATAGCACAGTGATACTGTGCTATGCAAAGGGGGAGTTTAACTTTCTAGCCTCTTCATGACTGGTTTTAAAGTAAGTCAATTAAACATGGACTGCATGGACGCTGCCCGTCTAAGCACATCACATCAGGCACACAAAGCACTGAAAGCCCTCAATTCAAGAAAGAACTTGTGAAGACAAGGGAAAACAAACAAACAAACAAACAAAACCTCTGAATAGATGTTGCTTTGAATAATCACAGCCAAATACACAGCCTTTGGAAAGGGGAGCCAGCCCCATGAAGCCCTTTCTTCTCTTCTAAAACAAAACAGGCTTTACGGGCAAGGAAAGAGCAGTATACATAACATCTTGCTTTAGCTAGGCTTTCTGCTGGGGCTTTGCAACTCTTCATTGTTTGTATTCTGTCCTTTTTCAGGTTAACTTTGAGTGACGTTCTGATTTGGTTCCGGTTCAAGTTCTACAGCATTTCGTAAGGAAAGCTGTTGGTTTGAGTCTGAGCACAGTTCATCTCCCTGCTTTTGACCATCTCACATAATGTCCTTTTAAAAAGCCAAGGAAACTAATCTAGAGGAAACTACTATAAAACCAGTCAGAAAGGTGGATGCAAAATTCATCAAAAAAGAAGTCCTGAGAGAGTAGTTATCAAATGATTTGCAGTCAAACGGGGAGGATGTAGCAGACGGAGCAGCGAAGAGATCTGTTGTGGCTTTTGCAAGAGTCAACATTTTTAAGTTTGACTTGGACAACAGACTGTCAAATCTGCAAAGGGGAGAGATTGTAAGCACACTGGCTTTTGGTCAGGATTAAAATTCAAAATGATCTTGACTGAGAGGAGGAGTGGTCCAAGAGAATAGTAGGCAGATCCACACAGACAAAGGCAGAGACCTGAGAGGTGGCAAGACAGATTAACAGAAGAAACACGACAGTGAATAACTGGCCAGGCAGCTGGCCTACAGAAGACGAGCTGGGAGTTAAAGGGGAGCACAAGATGGACACAAGTCAGTGTCACTCTGCAAAGGGAAAATCTCAGCCTTGGGAGGTTGAACAGGCCTTCTGGCTGACTGGCTGGCTCTGCACAGGCCTTTGGGTGGAACATTCTGTTCAGTTTTGGACCCTGCATTTCCAAAAATATGTGGGGCAATTGGAGAAAGCCTGAAAAAGAGAACTGAGAATGAGCAGTGATTCAGAAACTCTGCCTACAAGAGAAGACTGAAGAAATTGTGACGATTTAGTAGAGCAGACTGAAAGGAGTTGCTTGAAAACAATAGTTTTCTAATATGTAAAATGCAGCTGCACAAAGGGAAAACAAACTGATCCTGCATACAGTGAGTAGAAGTGATAATAGGCTTAAGCAGCTGCCAGGAAGAATCAGATGAGATATCAAGAAAGCTTTATCTGCATAAGATAGCAAAGCTCTGGGTTCTGCACCTCTGGAGGCCTTCAAGAACTGGCTGGACAAACATCCACAAGGAATGACATACGGATAGAAGGGAAGGGTCCTCTGCTCCGCTCCAATGCCACAAGGCATGGTTATTCTACATATCTGCTGTGATAAGGAGTGGTCTATTTGAAGACAAAACGGACAATGGGAACTAGGAGGCCTATGAGAGGAACTCGTCAAAGATAGAAAAGCAAATTACAAATTCTTGAAATGCTTCAAAGCTCAGAAGCCTGTGAGAGAGTTGGTGTGTGGGCTGGGATGCTGTGGAATGAAGGGAGCAGCAAGGAGAGATAAGACATTGCTGAGAAGCTAAATTAGGTATTTTATCAGCCCATAGCACAGGGGATGTCTGGAAGGTACCTCTCCTGGATTTGCTCATTCCAGGTAATAGTGATGAAGAACTGCTGTAGCCAGGGGTGCTCTGAGGAGTTGCTGGATTAAGGAGCAATGAGTCACTGGACCCAGCTGGGTCACGCCCAAAAACGTGGAAAGAACTGGGGAATGAAGCAATAGAGCAGCCAGCAGAAAAGACAATCTCTCATTAAAATCCATTCTGACATGGGAGCAAAGAGTAGCAAAAGTTTGAGCAGATTTTGAAAACAGAAAGTGCTAGGTATGACAGAGCAGGAGCTCTGGAACCAAGGAAACTGAACCAAGACTGAACTAATAAGCTCTCCGAACACTGCGGGTGCTGAGAAACTGGGGCAAACAGCTGTCTGTATTTCATCACTGTTACCAGCATAGAAGTGATAACTAGATGACTAGATAACTTTGACAAAGTTGTCACAAACAGCTATCGTGACAATCCTTCAAAGACATCACAGGGTTGGAGTGATATTTTTATCATGGGTCAGAAACTGTCTCCCAGGCAAAAAATGAGATGAGGCATAAACAATTGACTCTTATGGCCACGGAATGGCACGCCCTAAAGCTCCACAGTGAAGCCACGACTGCTTAACTATGATGCTCCACGATGAGAAATGAGAGGCAAGTAGGGTTTACCAAAACTGGATGACCCCAAATCATTGTGGTTAGTCAAGAGAGCAAACAGGGAGAATTCCAGCTGGATTTAACAAAGCCTGATGTGCAGGCAGAGCAAGAGCAGATGCCTTTTCTTGCTGATAAACACAAGGTAATGCCCATTGGGAGGAATACTGAAACAGTTCGTCCACCCTGCTGAGTTAAACATTAAGCATTACCACCTCAGCAAAAGAAAATCTACCCATTATGATGGGAGCTCATTGAAGATTTTTTGCTGAATCTCCAATAGCCAATGAAAAACAAATAAAGTGCTCTTTTGCCCAAAGAACAAAATAGCGAAAATGCAGGAATTATTCTAATGCTGCTGCATAAACAACTGATACCACTCACTGTATAACACAGAGCCCAGTTCTGGTCACTCTAACACAAGAAGAGAGAGCAGCTGTAACAGCAGGGCTGGGGAGGCTGGGCAGGGCTGGGGAAGTACAGCCAACGGCCAATACGGAATGAAGAAAATGAAGCCCATACCATTAGGCAGGTCCCAGTCTGTGTGGAAGCCATTTTGTAAGGTCTGGAGACCTTCCCAGCCACCAGAGCCTGCAGCTTCTGTAACTGCTGGAGCAGAGTCCTGGGTTAGGAAAAAAACAAAATTGCCACTTGATAAAGAGGTGATAGGCAATGAGAGATGCAAGAATACCACTAGCCCCTTCCTGTTTTAACCTGGCTTTCACTTCTTGTAATGATACATCTCTCCCCATTGTTCTATCTTGCCCAAGTTCTCCCACCAAACAAAAAAGAGTGAGTTTGAGATACGAATTGTGCAAGAACTGGGGGAAAAACACCAGGTGAGGTGCCATGGTAACCTCCTGCACCACCTTCTTTCACAGTCTCTTCACTGGAAGATCCAACACAACCTTCATTACAACTACCCACGGGTATGGATGTTCCATTTGTTTAGGATTCCTGGGTGCCTCAAAGCCCAGTCAATCATTTCCCAAAGCAATGGAGGGATGGGCTACCATGAAAACGAAGCTCTGGGATGGAGGCTGAACTTTGCAGTCAGGGTTAGACAAAGCATAGAGGCCTGCCTGCTCCCACTCCACTCACAGGTGCGTGCTCTGTAGCTCGACCTGTCACCCGAACCATATGGTGGACAGAAAAACAAAAAACAGTTTTGAGCCCCTCCAGCTTCTTCACTTTTGGCAAACTGTGCAGAGGGATGTGGGCAAGGACAAATGTTGAGTTCAGCAATTAATTAATCGTCTGGCTGCCCTGGCTGGAACGCGTGCGGAGGTCTCTCTGCCCTATTTAAATGAACACAGGCGTCTGCACACATAAACATTAAACAGTGGTAGGTGTGTTACGAAGAGCAGATGAACCTTTTGCTGGGCTGGTGAAGAAATCTGGGACAAGAAAGACTAACTACAGAGCACACAACTCCCTAGGGCCCCAGATTGCTGAAATACAGACTACTGAGTGTTTCCTCCTGGGAGCGCTAGCTGTTTTATACAAATATGTTGGAGCTTTTATAAAATGCCAGGTCCTGGAGCCAGGAGGTCACAGGAGAATCCCAGTTTTGTCTCTTTCCAAAGCCCCTTCTGCTCCTTGTACATATGGAGAGAAGCACAGAGCATCCCCCTGGCAGCACTCAGAAACCAAACCCAATTAGAAGGAACACAGTGTATATTTTGAAAAAAAGCGTCCTGGCTTTTAGGCCAGTCTCCTGATTTTGCAGGGTGGGGCTTGTGCTTTTTTGACACTGGGGGCTGCCTGTGCTGCTTGCGCTCTTAGTGAAGTCGGGGAGGCAGGCCATGCCCTGCAAGCAAAGCCAGGTGGTGATGTCTCCAGCAGGTGGCAGGCTCCAGCCACCAACACGCCTCACGAAGGCCCTGCCAGTGAGCCCTGGGGTCCCAGGAACAGCATCTGGCCTGGAAGCTGGGGTCAGAGCACTCATGTCATAAGTGAGAAGAAAGGCGTGGGACAGACCCTCAGGGAGTGCTCTGCAGCCCCTTGCAAGCTCTAGCAGCAAGAGAGGGTCGGGGCCAGCAGGGGGAGGGAACAGGCTCCCTGATTGTGTTTCTTCCCTTTGATCAGAGCTGGTGGGTGGTAGAAACAGGGCTATGGAATTAGGCTTCCCGTCACCACCCCTGCAGCTGATCCTGCCCTTGCTCAAACCTACCATACCCAGCAAGAGCTGGGCCCTCCTCCAACTTCTGCAGCCCATCCCCACTGCAGGGGCATGAGTCTTCCTTACTTGCTTCCAAAGAAGCAAATTCCCCTGGCAATCAGTCTGCCAGCTCTGCATATTGGGAGCACAAGCGCTCACCAGATTCTCAGGCAAGGGAGCCAGAGGCCTGCTTTGGGGCTGCAGGAGCAGCTTGCTCCTTTCGGGTGTGCAGCAGCAGCAGCAGCAGCAGCAGATGGGAGTGAGATCCTCCAGGCTTCCTTTGCAAGGGGAAGAGGCAGGCCAGGGCCTGGGGCGCTGCAGGGTTCCCACTGGTTTCAGATGCAGGGGGAGCTGCCCTGCATTATGTTGGAGCTGGTATCTCTATCCCATTAGAGGAAGGCGCTTTCCTCATATCTGCCAAGTCCGTTCAGTTCTTTCTCCAGGGGAACCCAAAATAGCCACATTGTGGCCAGGGCCTTGTCTTCCTCCAGGAGCCTGAGAGCAGAAACATCAGGTCTGAGAGTCTGTTGTTAGGGGCCTCCCTCAATGCAGCTGCTCTGAAGACAGCCAAAGGCCTGGAGGGCTATGGGGAGGGCAGCAGAAGCCCAAAGGGCTGCAGGGAGAAGGAGGAAGAGACGTGAAAAAAACTCTTCCCTCCCTCCTCTCGTTGCAGCACGGGCTGGCCGTCCCAACACAAACATTCCAGGCTCGCTAACCAAACCCAGCTGCCTCGCTGCTGCCACGGGCCGAAAACCAGCGCTTCGCTGAGCAGCGCCCATCCTGCCAGGAGATGGGGGAGGACTACCTTGCTCTTCTCACCATCCTGCCCCCGTGCTCCCCTGGACTCTGTTCCCGCCCACACATCCCACAGAGTTTGGCCCCACTCACCTGTTTGCATTTTCTAAGGTCTCCACTTTTTTCCAGAGTTCATTGTTTTCTGTCGTGTATGTCTCAACCCTGCAGGGATAAAATCCATAGCAGGTTAGTTTTGAAGCCCAGGCAGATGTAGCAAACATAGTCCTTGCCTCTATTGGGCTGTGGAAGCTCAGCAGCCTCATCCATCACCTGCAGATATGGTCCTGCAGCCCAATGTTCATGATCGGTCTGTTTGCAGCCAGCCACATAGATCAAGGATGAGATTGCAGGTGAAATCCATTACATATAGCAGTGCATGCACAGGCTTTTGTTCTGGCTCTCACTAGGACTGGAAGAGCTGTTAGCACTGGGTTACACGCAGGACAAGTCAGGATGGACCCAAGGCTACGCAGGCATTTCTGTCACTTCCGACACCCGCTGGTGAGCATCGGAAATGAACAAGTGGACAAATCCAGACTTCTCTCAAACCTGCCCTGGCTGTGCATCTTGCACATGAAAACCAGGCAGTTCTGTGCAAATGCTGGGCCAGCTTTGAGTGTAGGCACTTGAGGGCAGCAGAGAACCTACAGGTGCCCTCCCACCCTTTCTTGGGGAAAAGTGGTTACGCTGTGCTTGGGACAGTGGAAGGGGATATCTCCAGGACTGGAGGAAGACAAGCGGCCAAGGACACAACCAATCACATGGGAGGTTTCCAGCACATGGAACCAGGAGTTCCATGTAAAAACTGGTCCTACAATGAAGGTTTCAAACTGAATGGTCAAGGGCCCAAGTGCAATTTTTGTGCAAACCAGCTCTTACAGAAAGTCAAGTTGACCAAAGGCTTGTTGCATTAAAAAAAAATCTACTGAATGCTGCTTTTGGTTCACATTTAAACCTGGCATTGTTTGAAAGTCAGCTGTCACAGCAAAGCACTAGCATAACAAAGTGCTGAGTACATACAGGCACCACAGCCACATCTGGGAAAGAGGCCCCAGCACAGAAAGCCCCTGACCTGCCACTTGAGTGAGGCCAGTCAGTTCCCTGGGCCCCAACTTGCAGGATGTGGGCCTCAATGTGAGCCACCAGGAGGCGGTGATGTGCTCCCATGCTTGTACACACATGCACACCAAGGAGCCACTTATGAAACGGCATGAGAACTCGAAGGTGCCTTGAGTCATCTGTTTTCATTTGGCATTTCTGTGCACTTAGACAAGATAAACAAATACCATCAGGGAAAAGAGTTAATTAAGGTTGGCTTTTTGGGTTGTTTTTTTCCCCCCCAACTTTCCATTTTGCTGCTCTCAGGTGGTATTAATAAGCAGGGAAGAATATGGTATTTAAATAGAAGTGTAAGTTTGCACCTGGATCCCTGCATGCTTCTTTGCCTGGGAAAGCCCACTGGGGAGACCCTTGTGTTGGAGGGCTGCTTGTACAGAGAGGATCACGGGATCAGGCCCTCAGGGGTTATTTTTTACCCTGTTAGTGTCAGGTGATATCACCTTAGGCTTGCATCTGCCATACAGGCAGGAACTGAGGGCTGCAAGCAGAAAACCTAAGATCAGGCAGGGCTGGGTGGAAAGGAAGTGACTGTTGGGACTAACTATAGCACAAGGTTTTTCTTGCTATCATACATTTGTGTGTCCACCCTCAAAGAGTGAGGGGAGAAAGCTGTGTTCAGTGCCCTGAGATGGCCTGCTCCCTATGGCAAAGTAGGAGCAACTTCCAGTGGGGAAACAAGACTCTTATCCAAAATCCCACCTTATCGACAGATTTTATTACCTGTATGCATGGGACCAGCCAAACTAAGCAGTCAGAAACACAAGGTTTCTAGAGCAATCTTCATCCTGCAAGAGGATTTCTAGGAGGGAGGGGAGCTAGGGCAGGATCCCAAACCAAACTTCTGTGCAGCCAGACTTGCAAGGAATCGTACTCTTTGAGCAATTCAGTAGTATAGTGTGTTGAAAAGAAGCTTCTTTCTCTGCAATCCCCTTGCAAGTCCAGTGTCTGCTGAACACCTCCTACAGGTTGTTCCAGGGCAGGATCAGGTGCTGAGTCTCACAGGGAGACAACTGAAATCCCTGCTGTTCCACTGGCATTTTAAACTTCATAGCCTTGGTAAGGAGAAGTTCTCAAAGTCAATCCCAGTGCTGCAGTGCTACTGCCACTGGGAGAAGAGGGTTTGGGACCATCCTTGTACCACACTGGGAGTGGCAGGGCTCCCCCTGACCTCGACCCTCAGGGTCGAGGGAGCCTCGACCCTGACTAAGCTACTTTTGAGCTGAGATGCAGTGGGGAAGAATAATTATAGCTTAATGGGACCAAAAAGGCTATCAGAGCCAAAAGCATTAGAAAGTGGGGGCTGAGAAGGAACAAGGCTCCTTTTTCAAAAGTAATTCTGAGAAGAGGACACTTACTTTTTCTCTAGACACTCCACATATTCCTTCTTCTTTCTGCGACTCTCTTGAGCAGAGATCTGTCAGGGTGTGGGGGGGAGGCATTAGAAAGTCAGTATCATTTCCTTCTGGGTCCCTGGGTCCCTGATTTCATCTGTTCCCTGCACACATAGTGTCCTGAAGTAAATAGGGAAGTCATCTCCCAGTTTCCCGTTCCTACTGGTTTCCAGGCCAAAACTGGGAGGTATGGAAACTGCAGTTATGTAGTCCTCTTTGGCCTGTAGGTCACAACTGTGTTTTGGAGTATGCCTGAACCCCTCGCTGCTGAGAGCATCCTTGAGGTTGTACTGACCTCCTCTGACTCACATGGGTACGTGCTGTGGCCATCTAGGCAGTTTCTGCCCCAGACCACTTCTGAGTCACCAGGTGACTAATCCAGGGTCTCATCAGTTCTCCCACAGGATGATGGCTAATCAGTCTTAAAATCTCACAGCCTCTGCCTGGCTAATGAGCTCTGTGTGCATCACTCATGTCCTTCATCATGCAGTGGCTCGTCTCCCTCCACTGGAGCCATGTGCTCCGAGGAGTCTGGCTAGAATGTACATTCCCCAGATCCAGCTGTGTGCAGAGCCTCACCTTCAGCATCATTCCTGAAGGCTGGGAGACTCTTGCCAGTGCACTAAAGGCAGGGTCCCACCTCCCCTGAGCTGCACCACAGCTGAGGGAAACTATAGCACTGATTGGCTGACGGTGCTCTGGGATCATGGGAAAGGCATGGTTAAGTATTTGGGCAACATTCACCTTGTTCTTGATTTTCCTCCTGACCCTCTTCAGTGCTTTCTCCTCTGCTTTGGTGAGGGGTAGCTTGGTAGGTATGGGGTAGCCCTCGGCAATCAAGGTGCGTTTCTCCTCTTCAGTCAAGAGCAGAGGGCCAGAGGTCCCTTGTAACTTCTGAAATACATAGGGAGCACCTATCAGTATCAGCAAGGAATCCTATCCTGGTAGTCCTCCTTAAAGCCTTGCAGAGCAGCTGGGGGCTCAGTACAAACAGATCAAACAACAAATAGGCAGTGCTCTTCCCTGCTCTCAGCCTCTCGCTCCTGCACAATTCATTAGCTTCCTTCCTCTTTACCTGGGAGTGCATCTGCTCCCTCGTGGTGAGTCTGTGCTGCAATATCCAGCCAAAGATCTTTTGGGCAAAGGTTAAAACATGGTCTGGTTATGGGAATTCTTGGTTATTCCTTTTTCTTCCATTAATCTCCTGAAGAAGTCCCCCAGTGCATGGGCCACTTTCCCAAAGTATGGGACGAAAGATAGTACTTAATAAAACAAGGTAGCCACTGGTAGGCGTTGTGCAAGACTCAGTGGGCCTCTCCTGACTCCTGTGAACACCACCCTGTCCCCACACCCTCACACTAGGAAATCACATCGCTTTGCCAGGGCATTTCAGCATGGAGACCTTAACAGGGACAGGATCCCCCACATGAGCCTCAGAAAGCCTCCTGCCCACTCTGAGCATGAAGGAGCCCTATGACTCAATGATGTCCTGCTGCCTCCTTACATGTGGTGCTGTGAGGAGAGGTGAGGAGGAGATGGCAGTAGAAGAGCGAGCAGCGGGTCGGGCTGGGCTGGAGGGAGGCAGGGACCGGGGGCTCTGGGATCCATCGCTGTCACTGCCGTGGCTGCTGGGGGGAGTTGGAGGCATCTGCACCAGGTCATCTACTGAGAAATAAGGAGATCAAGTCAATTGCTGTCACGTCAGCCTCTTTTGACAGGCATAGAACTGGGAGTAAAACAAGGAAAGGCACTGCCATAAAACAGGCCTGAAAGGAGAAGGTGATGAGCCTAACAAGAGGGGTGGTCAGAGAACAAGGCTGGGCTGAGCTTTGCCCAACAAGACAAAGGTGAGGCTGACTTCAAATGTGCTGAACTAGGAACTGCAGGAATCGGAGAACTGGCAGGGGCTTTGCCAAGACACTAAAGATATTCACAAAGCAGTGAGATACCCCAGTGTTGATCAACAGAGTACAAAGCCTGGTGTTTTGCTCCCTAGCCTGTTCACATGCTTCGGAAGCTCTGCAAGAGAAGAGCTCTTCCAAAAGCACCACAGGGCTCGCACACTTGCCAGTACACTTGACCCAAGGGGCTCTGGTCACTCAGTTGGTTGCCAAGCACTAGAAAACTGTCCGCAGTTTGTATCAGAGAGCCCTGGTGGTCTTAATGGAGGTGTGAATATGCCTAAGGTGCGTCTCTCAGGGGCAGAGTGGGAGTTCCTATAGTGCTTTTATTTGTGCACTGACAGACTTTCAGATGCTTGGGTTTCTTTCAAATTAACCTGGATACTGAATTTCCTGACTTTCAAATGGGTTTTTTTGGATAACAACAAGGTCCCTGTGAGGATTTTAAAGGCACTTTTGCATATTTCCAGCTCTGAGGTAGCCTGTTTTGCCTGGGAGTCCCTGTCTGAACAATCCTGTGCATGGCTGTTGGTCCAGACGCTGATCTGAGCTGGAACAGTACTCACTCCTCTGTTAGTTTGTACCCCAGTATTGCCTTGTATGCTTGGCTCTGTTCTCAGATATTGTTTCTCCTCCCTTGGTAAGAATCATCTGGGTAATTTAGAGGGATGTCTGTCAACCAGCAAGTTCTGTCTTCTTACCTGCAGGTACATTTAGAAACTGGTTCACCTCTTTGGGCTCAGCTTTGATCACAGGAGCTGGAGTCATTTCTATGGGAGTCTGTGGAAGAGAAGCAGAAAGAGCTCTTGGGTGCTGTCACATACCTGCCCTGCACAGAGGGCTCCCACCAGCCCTTCTGCTCACAGCTGCTGCTCCCTGCTCTCTCTTCTTACGCATTGCACAGCTATGCCCCTGAGCCCTTCTCCCACTGCACACGGCAGCAACCAGAAGTCCAAACATAACCCCCCGAAGTCTCTGTAGCTGGGTGCACAGAGTGCAAATACATTTGCTGAGAGAGAGACAATGGCAGGTAGATGTGGCCAACCAATGCACACTTTTTCCTTGGCCGTTCTTCCCTTGCTAGACCAAGATAAAGCAATTTACTCTCTGCATTACCACGAGACGTCCCTCTTTGATCTGCCTTCATTAGATATGGGAGTAAAAATAGAGCTTGCACAGAAAAAGAACAAACCCCCTGCCCTGCTCACATGATTTTTACCAGGGCCACCAGGCAGCTGTTTCCAATCGGAGGGGATTGAGAGTTAAATAAAGAGTACTTTTCTTCCCAGCCAGGCTGTGCTGCCCCTCAGCTCCCAGGCTCGCCAGCCCCCCAGCCCACCACTGGATGGGGGAGTTTTTACACTAAACAGATACACTGCAAACTGCCCCAGACTGTAAACACAGCTGAGAAAGTGCCATGGTACTGCTGCTGAGCACACACAGTGGAGCTTCGAGAGCACAGCAAGTTCGAGCTGTGTAAATAATGGAGGAAGTTTGTGCACAGTTTTGGCTGGAAGTACCCATTTGTTTTGGATGGTTGTTTAAAAGCTCTGCATGAGTGAAAAAAGGAAGTGAACCCCAGAGATGCTCTACCGTTATCTACGGAGCTGCTACAAGATAGTCCAGGTCTGTGTGACACTGGCCAGACCTTCCTTTCCAACACGGCTGGACTCAAGGCCAGCCAAACTGAGCCCCGACTTCCTCCCACATACCAATGGCATAAATGAGTCTGCTTTACACAAACAGACTTTTTAAGAACTTAGATATTAGCAAGAGACTTGGCCTGTTGCTTCTTAGAAATAATAGTCCTGCTGCTTCATAGGCAAAAGCAAGCGGGACCTGGAGTGGGACCACCATTTCCAGTGAGCAGTTTAGAAAAGTGTGATAAGCCCAAGGTCTTGAAAAAAAGACAGTGGCAGAAAAGGGGTCTGTACTTAGGAGCAGCGGGGTCATCGGCACCAAATTAATTGACGCTGTCCTCCCAGGCAGAATGTAATCCCTAGTCGATGAAAATAAGCTAAGAGTGGCTACAGAAATATTGGCAGATTGGAGGGGACAGGCCTCCAGCACATGCAAGCTTAAAAGTCTTTGGGTTCTGTGCCAAGAAAACAGGCTTGTATTTAACCCAGATTGTAAAGCTGGAGAAAACCCTCCTTCCATCATTTTCTCTGGAAGGATAAACTGCTTTGTACCTTCACTCAAGGGATCAAGAACACATTTCTAGTTAGCATCAGGTTTGGTGCTGTTCTAACTGCCATTTCAAGAGGGGAATGACAAATAATGCAATATTTGGGCTTCGGCTTTGTATCACCTTCCTTTTTCCACCCAGCAGCTGAATCATCTAGCAGGACTCTCCAGTGACATGGCAGGGTCCACGTCACCTGGGATGCCGCTCTGTGAGAGCCCTGGTTCCCAATGGATCTTAGATGGGCTCACCTCCTCGGGGGCCGGCAGTCTCTGCAGAGGGTTGAGGTTCAGCATTGGTATGGAGCTGGCAGCTAGCTGGGACTCAGGCAGGTCTAGAGCCAGGTTCTGTTCCTGTTTCACCATGATGGAGCAGAGCTTGGGCCCCAGAGACCATACTCCATTCTCCAGCTCTGAAACATGCACAATGTGAGAGTCAAACTCCAGCAAGAACAGGATTTAAAAAAAAAAAAAAAAGACCCATGCAGACAGCTTCCCCCCATCTGGGGAGGCTGCCTTTCCAAGTCTAGCATTGTCACCGCACAAGCATGCGCAGGCCCACAACACAGAGCACAAAAAGGAATGAACCCCCAGCGTGCAGGGACCAGACAGGATGGAGCTAGAGGGATCGTGTCTCTGCTCTGCTCTCCTCTGCCTGCATAGCCAGAGTTGTGGAGGACAGCTGCCGGGCTTCTTCCCGCAGTGATGTCTCAGTCTGGTCCTCTGGAGCTTATTTATATTTAGAGTTCAGTGAGAGGAGGATGCTGGGCTGCTGTTCCTTAGGAGTTACGTCCAGCATCATAGAAGTGCCAGGTGTGTTACCAAGAATGGCACCGTCTCTGTGCTAGAGAGCTGGCAAGAGGGCAAGTGTGATAACAGCGAAAGGCTGATGGGCGGCTGTATGTGCTGCTCCAGCCTCGTGCTGGTGTTGTGGCAAAGAGCAAGCTTTGTTGCACAACAGGAGGAGAGGAAGGACGACCGTTCCTGCAGAAGGAAGTCCAGTGTGGCGCCTTGTGTGTGGCACCTCTTGCATGGCTGTTCCCCTCAGTCGCACCTCAGAGGTCCCCTTCTCCTTTCTGCACTGCTCAGAGTGCAGAGGGCCTGCTGCCCACAGCTATGCCTGGCTGCGGTCACCGGCAGAGCGAGGAGCAGTGTGGAGGGGAAGCAAGTGTCTGAAGAGAACTGAATGGAGCTTTGTGGGGATGCTCCGCTGTCCCCTGCCTTCTCTGTCCCCACACATGCCTGTGACACAAACCTGACTGGCATGTGCCATCAAAGCTCCCTGAGCTGTGATTCAGGCAGCAGGAGATAAGCTGCAGCTCAGATAGGGAAAAAAAACAGCTAGGCAGGAGAGCTGCCTGGGCTCTGCTCGTAAGTTTTGGTCCTCTCATTGCTCTTCAAACACTTCAGCCTGCCAAAAAGCTACTCCTAGCTGGCCTGGAGCCTAGATCCTCCTCCCTAATCCTCATCCCTTCCTTTCCTCTTTTATCTGACAACCAGAAATGCATTCGTCTTGACACATGACAGACTCCTGCTAAGTGTGTCACCAGATAGTGTCCCAGCTGGGTCAAGGCCTGTGCCAGGGCCACACTGGGGCTCACTTGCCAGCCACTCTGCACTGCTTTCTCCATATACAGCAACCGTGGACTCAGGGGAGTTGCTTAGATGTCGGCTGCCCAAAGCGGCTCTTCAGTGCAGCTCCCAGTCTAGAAGATGCACTGGCAAGAGGAGAGGAGGGAAAAAGGTCCTCCTCAGCTGCAGAACAACCTGCACAAGGAAGGGTACAAGGCAGCAGCCATTCACGTGGGAGCTGCCATCCAAACTAAATGTAAAGGCAGCTTGATGTCATCTTTGCTCATCTTAGGTTCTGTGGCCCCTCAGGAGAGGACAGTGCAGAATCCTGCCTCTGGCTTTTGCATGCACATAGTGGGTTTAAAGCTCAGGCACAAATTTTATCAGTTAATGCAGTATTGCCCTTGCCAGTGATATATGTCATCTTCCTGTCTTTGGTTTAGCACCTCTCATTTTGCTACCTGGCTGAGGGTCCTTCCTCCCAGCTTCCAGTGTGGCAGAACATCTTCAAGCTGAGACACAAGCTGCCCTGCCCTGCTCTGTGCCCTGGCTTCGGCGCTCCTGGGTAGCTTCCTAGAGCTTCGCATAACGCACCAGGGCCAGCATTGTCAGGGAGCGTCTTAGGCATGGGTGTGTGGGTGCAATGCACAGCCACGATAAGGAGAGGCTGCTGAGCAGACACAGAATGAATTGCTTTTCCTCTGTCCTGCTAAGAGCACCAAACCCGCAACTAATAAAGTCCTAGTTGCCCCTAGTATGCAAACAAGCCCCATACTATGGAAGGACGGAAGGTGTTGCATAGCCACAAGTATTTGCAACCAGAAAACTTGGACTGACTTCTTCTGCCTGACCACAACCTGTCATTGAGATGAAGGTTTAACGGGATCTTGAGAGGGCTTCCAGTCCATTCCCCTGCCCCAAGGCAAGTTCAGTTATACCTGTGTCAGTCCTGACAGATGGTTGTCCAGCTTTATCTTAACTCAGTGATGGGACGCTTCACAGTTTCTCCATCAACTATTTTCTAGGGCTTCACTTCGCCCACTACAGGAAGGTTTTGCCTACTGGCTAATTTGAAGTTCCCTTACTGTGAGTTAAGCCCATTATTCCTCATTCTCCTTTTCTGTTGCAGAGCTCTGCATTTCTCTTTCTCTCAGAGACGTGGGGCATCCTCTGCCTGTGGGAGCAGCTGCTGAAGCAAGTTACGAGACAAAGGCGAGCAGACCACCAAGGATTCTCCCTGTTCAGACTTGACTAGACAAGAGAGCAGTCCCCAGTGCTGTCAGTCCAGACAGTCCAAGGAGCAGACACCCAAATAAGCATATGCTGTCCTCCAACTTCCTGTCTACATTCTGACCCCGCTCTCTTTCCCACCCTCCAAGTTTCATCTGGGGAGCGATTGGGTTACAGACTCAGAAATACATAAGAGATCAGGGGGTCATTGAGGGATTGAGGAGGAGGCATGTGTGGACACATCTGTGTTCTGCTGCCTGAGAGGACGTTTTGCAGGTATGGCCAGTCTGTAACCACTGCACATACCACTGTGTCCTGCTGGATGAGGGATGCCAGGAAACTCATCCTCTGCTCCAAGTACTCTATACATAACAGGAACAAGTACGGCTGTGAGATATCTATAGCTGTCCTGGGGTGGGGAGGAGAGGAGAAAAGCAGTGAAGAAGCAGGACCCATACAGAGGTACAGTCACTAGGCTGAGGCCAGCCCAGCACATGCTGTTTTGCACAACCCCAGTTCCCTCTGCTCCTGGCATGGAATCACACCTTGCAGAACTGACCGCTGGTACTGAGAACTGGAGCATCCAGTTTGTATGTGCAAACCATCTGGAAAGCAGGCTCCACTGATAAACAGGGTCAAAACGCACCCAGCAGCTGATCCATATTAGTTGGGGACCGTGTGGGAAAGGGCAGGATTAGGATTAGGATTAGGATTAGGATTAGGAAGCATTGGAGATCGCAGAAAAGCTGAAAGAAAGCTGATAAGTAACAAGTCTCAGCCAGCTCCAAGCCTGGAGAGAGCCTGGGGAGCTCTGCAGACCAAGCAGGCAGGCTATACCACAGTTAATGTTAAAGGAAAGCCATTCCCGGGTAATTAATTTGAAGTGACTGTCTAAAAAGGACGGAGACTGGACGGAGCTGTGCCAAAAGGACTGCACAGTGTTACAAATACTGGACCTGACTCAAGGCTGCACTAGAACATGACTCATCCAATTATGAGCCAAGATAGCCCTGGAAAGACGGGTTGAATTATCCCACTGCAGCACTGGGTGCATAAATACCCTGGTATTTGCCTCACTAATGTTTGGGCCTTATGGCCTTGTATAGAACTAAACTACACCCTCAGAGAGCAAATGCCAGGTCCATCTCAAGCTCTCCGGGGTTATAAGCTGCACACTCTGTGCTGGCCTCAGCGCAAGGATGAATGTCGCCCTCCACGCAGAAGCATCATGGTCTTGCCTTGGAAAGACTACTGAAGCAGAGACATTTCTAGGTACAGATGAGAGGAGCAGAAGTGGTGATAAGTGTCCCCGAGACAGTTCCGTGAGCTAGCTTTGTGCAGCCTGACTTCATGTGTCATTTCACTGTTCTCTATAACCTCATGCTTTTTGCTTTTCTCATCCCCATTCCTCATCCTCCTCATGTTCATTTTCCAGAGCAAAATAAACATGTGTCCATGTAAGCTCATGCTGGTTTGCTTTCTGTTAGTTGCCCAGCTGCCTGTTTAGGCCAAGCACCCTCCAAGAATGTGCTGGGTTTAAAGCTAGTGAGAAAGATGTGTGCAAATTGACAGCTTTTTGATGCTAGGGTAGAACTTGCTCAGCCTGCCATGAGCCTCTCTCACAGCACCTCTCTGAGTGGCCCCTAGGGAATGTGGTGCTGATGGCTGTGCCCTTTACAGGGAATAAACACACAATGGAGGGTCGCTCCTCTCCTCCTGCTCTGCTGTTTGTACCACAGAGCTGGGATCATTCCTGGCCGTGACAGGAAGCCTCTGTCCCAGGCTCGCTCTCACTCAAAGGAATGGCTTTCTTCTGTATATACTGAGCCAATGCCACTGCTTTTTCAGGCAGCCTGGTGTCCATCAGCTGCTAGGACACCCACACAGTCCCACAAATTGCAGGACTCTCTGCAAGGATGGCTCTAAAAATATCCAGCCATCATAAATTATCCTGAAATGAATTGTTTTAAAAATAGGTTTTGAAATGACTGTTCCTCTCTGTCTCCTGCTAAAAGATCTGCTGGTAAGGAAGCCACTTAGCTTTCCACAAGTACCAGCACTGGCTGCAGCCAAAGACTCATGCTTCCAGCATTCAAGCCAAAACCCTGCTGACTGGTGCCAAAACAGACCTGGATCTAGGGCATCCACACCCAGGCTTGCAAGGTCCTAAAGAGATATTGCCTGTTGCTTGCCAGAAGTTGGCAGAGCACAGAACCACAACCAATTACCATTCTCATAAATAACAGCCCGGCAAAGGAGCAATGCAATTGTCAGAGAGCAAACTGAAGGAAAAAATGTGGGCTGTATTCAGAAAGCAGTAGATCAAATTCTTCCCTGGATTAGCCATGCGCAAGTCCAAGGAATAGCCAGTTTGTCCTTATATACGGAAGACAGCCAGAGCCTCTGCTAACAGATGTGCCTGAAGCTGTGCAGTGTGCATGTCTCATGCTCACCGTTAGCATTATCTTCAGTCTTGACAGGCATGAGGGGGCTCTGGGGAGCAGAATCTCCACTGAGGGAGTAGCTGTGCTCTGCCTGGATGCCTGGAGTGGGTGGATCCAGGTCCATGTCCAGCAGCGGGTTCTTTTCAGCCAGTACAGGATCATCGAAGAAACTGCTGAAGAGCTCGTTGGAGAAATCCTCCATATTGTCAGAGAAGTGATCCAGGTTCTCAGAGAAATGCTGAGGAAGGACAAAGGGAGAGAGAGTGTTAGTGTGAACTCCAAGAGGGATCTGAAAGCTTTCTCCTGCCCTGAGCGCCAAGCCCTAGGCAAATCCCTGTTTGGATGGGAAGAAGTAGTTCCTATCCCTTGCTCCCATCAGTTTTGTTAAAAACACCTTGAATTAAGATGCAAATGGCCTAGGTGTTGTGCAACTTTTCCACCTATTTATTTATGCCACAAACACCCATGAAACTCTTCTATGCTTCCTAGTATCCTCTCACTATGTCATCTAGCACAAGAAGGAGCACAAGGCAAGAAATCCCTGTGATAACAAAATGCAAGTGTAGCAGAAAGTCATGCTCTTTGGCACCTGTCCTTGGTGACAAGCACTTTTTCATGTTCTCTGCCAGCAGCAGTAGGCACTTTGATGCCCCAAAGAACACCAAACCAGCTGCTGATTTCTATCAGAGGAAAACAAATCAGTTGGATCAACATAACAGGAAGGCCCCCTGTTGTATTTAATTTCCTCCGGGATTTCACAGCCCCTCTGTGGACCATATGAGGCTGTCCTCCAGCCAGATAATGCCTGTGAAATTCTGCTCCCCAATGAAGTTTAAACACTACAGATGGGCTGTTAACAACAAACAATCATTCCACTAATCATTCCAGTAACAGTCAGTAAATCTGGCCAGTGCTGCTGTGGAGCTGGGTTCCTGATGCTACAGGGAACCTGCTTCCTTTGAGGCATATCATCCTATTCAGAAGTCAGATCACTAACTTTTCCATTTGCTGCAACAAAGCATTGGTTGGGCAGGGAGAAAAATGATGGTTGCCAAACACCAGCTGAAAAATTATCCCATTTGTTGGCAGATTGAGGCTTCTGGCTCAGGGAGAGGAAAGAAAAGACAGATACATTCAAGTGACTATATTACACAGACAGAACTGTGTAACTTAAATGAACTGGAGAGAGCTGAGCAAAGTCAGACTGGGTCCCTCCCGCCTGGAAAAGCATCTGGGTGGGCAGAAAGGCATTGAAAACAGCATACTGAAATACCAAGAGCAACAGGGTATGGATGAGAGGGAGACTGAGAGAGCACGCAGGTCCTAGAGCAGAGACATGAATGCCAGTGAATTCCAGTGTGATGGCCCAGCTCAAAGGAGAGTCAGGCTCCCAGAGGAGCCCTGGAGGGCATGGTGTATATTCAGTCCTTTCTTTCCCCAGCAGCAGGACAGAGGTAGGAGTTGGCCAGGGGACCCGGATGCTGGAGCCTGCAAGTTCCTGTTCCTACAGGAAGGTATGTTTGTTTTACCTGAGCACAATCTCTCTCTGTCAACAGAACACTGGCTGTCAGACAGTTAGGTGAGGCTGGGGAGTGAAACAGACTCCAGCTGGACAGCCCCATGCCTCCCACCAGGAGGTGGGGGAGAGGGAGAGCTGCAGCAAACTGCAACATGGCAGTGCCCTTCCCCGCCTGGCATAATTCCCCAGCCGCTCAGATGCCCCTGAAGCACGCTGGAAGGGTGGAGAATCCATGCTGCTTGCATTCTGCCTGACATGTGGTTTCTCTCCCTCCGCTTCCTTCCCACTTGTCCCGTCCTCTCACCATCTTGAGTGACAGCCTGACACAACACCATCCAAACCTGTCCTAGGAGGACTGACAGTGCATGTATATATAAAGTGAAGAAGGTACATTCATGCTAAACCCCAGTGTTGAGGCCCTCCCAGGCATGCCTGGGCTGAAGTTTTCTCCACTCATTCCCATACCAGAAGCAGAGTTGGTGAAATAGCTTGGTAAAATCTAGCCAGCCATTTCCAAGTTGCCTAGAAGCACTTCTGCACTTGAGTAAGTGACAGAAAACACTCCCATCTGTGCCTAGCACGACCACTCTTTAGAAGGCAGCTGAGTCAGCAGAGGGGTTAGATATTTATCAAAAAGCACTGGAAAACCAGGTTTTGTCTCATCCTATAGCAGAAAGCGGTGAGAGAGCATACAGTTCTGAGCATTAACCCCAAAGAGTGCCTGCTCACATAACAGCTGTTCTGTGTCTTGCTTTCTCTAAACAAAAGAAACAAACACAGGATATGGACACGATAGCCTTATGGCAAGGGTGAGAACGCAACTGCAGAAAAGTGAAGGGATTCAGAGTTCTGTCTGCCAACGCACAGTGGAGAGCACAGTGGAGTTGCGTCCACCATGAGGCATCCAAATTGCACATGGTCATAACCATCAAAATTGGAATAACTGTGTAAGCCTCAGGGAGGAGCAGGGCCAGATGGACAGTTGCAGGGAGAACTGCCCGAGATGTTCCTGCATTTCAAACTTCTTTCACAACTTTGCATTAATAAAGGCAGAGGCGGGAGTGAAGATAGTCAGGGAAAAGTTGCACTTATGCAGGAGTTCCACGCGCTACCTTTTAGCAGTATCCCAACTGCAGTCAGATCTCTTGGTCAGTCAGTGGTCTTCCCATTGTAAGACAGAGCTGTCCAGAGGGAAGAGGAGGAGATGTGTCTCTGGGTTTATTTTAACACCAAGGAGTCACCCCAGTGGCAGCTAAGGGGTGACAGATCAGTGATGAGGGCAAGGGACTGAATATCAGAACCTTGACATGGGCAACATCATTGGCAGAAGTAATTGCAGATCTCTGGTACTTCTTTTAGACACCACAAAGCAGGCTTTCTGGAGGACCTCCCTGCTTGGAAATGAGGAAGCATCGTTTTTGTCCCAGATACACAAGAGGTCAGCTGCTCAAGAGCCTGTTCTCTCCCAAGAGATGGAGACCTACCGCACAGTGAGGAGAAAACATGGGCGATGAGCAGAGAATGAAGTTCACACCTTCACTGGAAATCTAGAAATATTGCAGCAGGTACTATTCCCTGAGTTCCTGGGTCTGATCCTCCAGCAAAGCTAAATCCTGGAAATGCCTTCTCATCAAAGCAGCCCCTTTTCATCTTTCACCAAACATACATTTACCAGCTCAGCATCTCTAAATGGGAGTGGTGGAGAGAAGGGAATATTGGGTTTAAGGAGGTTAGCTATCCTCTGTGACTGGGAATATTTATAGCTATTATCAAAAAATGGCACAAGGGACTAGGAACCCTGAGATAGGAAGTTTACCCATAGCTATCACAGAGCTGGAGATTGGTATTTTACTCAGAGAAGATGGTAAGAGATTGGAGGCAAAAGAAGGTAGGAGAAAGGAAGGACAAAGTAAAAGATTATAACACAGCTTTATAACCCGCTATATCCACAATGGAGACTAAAGGAAAAGGAGGAAGCTGACCCAAGCTCCAGGGAGACTGCTGTGTATTTTGGCTTGGCTTTGTTCTCTCCAACAGGAGAGATGCCAACAGATAATGTTAACCTTAGGATAGACTTCTAAGCAGTAAAGGAATCCATGCATGTAACCACCTGGTAACAGGAAAAAGTGTCCTCTTGCCCAGATACAACTGTGATGGCCAGCATGACAGGCAGCCCAAAGCTTATTTTGGATCAATGCCATCAAACCCACCGCTCATAAGCTTAGATTCAGGCAGCTAACCCAAGACCTGCCAACTCTTTCTCATCTAGTCTCCAGGAACATGGTGAGAGAGCTGCACCTATGTGGCAAAACACAGAGAAGGCCACAGCTGTCTTCTTCCTTAAATCAAGAGAGAAGGCTCCAGGGGAGCTGCAGTGTCTCATGGCTACATGAGTCATGGCAGAGCATGGCGGGGTTGGTGCTTAGCTTTTCCATGGTACTTCTGTGCAATAAACGAAGCTTACTTCTGTGTAATAAACAGAAGCAGGTTTATCACCCAACCAAGTGGACTGTAGTGGTCCTGGCAAGAAGGTCACATGCCACGGGAGGTGCTGGGCAGCCACTAGCCTTTCCTCCCATCAAGACTGGGGCTAGCACAGCTGAGGACCTGCATGTGCCTTTGCTAACACTGTTGCAGTGAAAATCTGGGCAGATCAGGAGGCACACATGTAAGTGGAAGGTCCACACAAGAGTCCACAGGACCTGGACACACATGAAGGAGGGACATACAGATGCACAAGCAGAGCAGGCTCATCTTGCAGCCTTTTCAAGGTGTAGACTCTCTCCCCGGGGGCATCGTCTAGCTCTGGCTCTTCTGGGAATTGGCCATATACTTCTAATTGTGACAACGAAGGACTCTGCAAATCTGCTGAGATTTTCCTTTAAGTTATTTCCAGTAGCTTTCATGCAGATGGGCCTGGCTTGAGCAAAGGGGACCAGTCAACTGGGAAACATGATCCTTACCATCCTGGCCCAGAGGGAGCGGGCGTGAAGTGTACTGGGGGAAAACCGCTTCCAGATGGGATACAAAGCTCACAGCACAGTCTCATTTTGCATTATTCCCTCCTGCTATCTCCCCCTCCCTTTCACACCCTCCTTCCTTCTCCTTCTAAGTAGGCTCCACAGCCAAGAAATAGCACGAGATGTGTTTCCAAAGCTGTATTACCAGTGAGCGGTCAGGGAGGGGGCAGCCAAGGGACAGAAACGCAATGGCGAGGATGTACTGGATTTCCTGATCCAAGCCTGATTTCTGGCTGTCCATCCCCTCCCCCCCTTGCAATTTTGGGAGGATGGGGAGGCAGCACCAGAAGGGGACATACCAGTGTATGCAGGTATAGGGGAGGCAAAAATCATCTCATCTCCAAGCCCAAGAGAGAGCCTTAAACTGCTCTGATGCCACAGGAGAATCTGCTCAGGCTGAGGCCACCTCAGCCGCATGGAGAGAGTGCGAATCTGTCAGCCCTTGGCTCCTGCTCCCTCCCTCTCCTGGTGACCGACATAGGCACTGACTCTTCCAAACATGTTTCCACCACATGTTTTCACCCTGACCTCATGCTCAGGGTTGTCTAAATAGCAAACTGTGTGTGCGTGCGTGCATTTCTCATTCGAACACCCCTTCCTGTTGTACAACAGTTATCTTGGGAGCTAATGCAAGGCATCCAGACATCCAAATGCAAGCTCTCTATTTGCCCCGAGCCAGAGCCCATAT